TGCACTTTTGAATAGTTCCATTTCCAAGCCGTGCAATACATGTAGCAGTGCTCATAACAGCGGCACAATACTCCCCTACAAACGAATCGGCGTGTGAGGGGGTCTGGCTTGGAGTGCGGCCAGGGTGAACTTTCTCATCAATCGATGCCATCCTGAGCCCGCAAAATTCGATGGAAAACGATGCACTTCTTGCGACCAAATCCAAACCCTTTCACACGCCCTCTCGTTTGCGGAGGTGAGACTACATAACCTGAGGAAACGAAAAATGAAGCTATGAGCAGGAATGAACACTAGAATGAATAGAAACTGTGACTATAACCTTTACATAGACTTGTATATCAGGGTGAACATTTGGCGGCAGTTCCATGCGATAGCCTTCCTTAACCTGAACTTAGACCTGCTATTTTGCTTAGCTTTTTTCATGTTTTGAGTCTATTTCCAGACTTCGTTCCTTTTGAAAAAAGATGAGCAGACGTCCTTACATTCTGATTAACTTCCGCTACAGTCATTCCTGGATACGGTTCTATACCGTTGTTGTATATCTCCCAGCACATGATACCTATAAACAGTGGTGCTTAGAAGCTGGACGTTATTTGCCTTCGGTGGGGTAACTCTACGGTAAGGCTAAGCCACTTCAGTCTGCTATAACAGCACAACGTGAAGATTTGGCGCCTCCTAAAGATATCCTCACAAGGCATCCTAGGAACTCGCCGAAACCTATAGAGAGCCTCTGGAGAGTTCCCGGGATACCTTGCGCTTAGAGCACGTACGAATGACATCTGGAAATGAATGTGAGTAAAAAAACTTTACCGAAGCTGAACACATCCGTTTTTTGCGTGTAGATGGCCATTTTCAATGTTTCGGGGGCAAGCCACCTAATTGGAACCCTTTTGTGCGGATCCATCTGATATACCGTGCCTTCACGAGTCAATCCAAAATCGGAAATTTTTCACCTGTAAACTACGTGGAATTCTGCAGGTAAGAAGTGGTAGGCCTGACCACAACCACATGTTCAGCTCGAACCGGAGCACACCACCACCTTGTACCTGATTTTTGTGGACTACGCCTCCCCCCAATTTACGTCTTTTATTCGACCGCGTTTCCACCCTAAACCAACTGTTTCCAAAGCGTTTTGACATGCGATAGGGAGGGGATTGACACCTCCGATTGCAATATCATGAACCACAGAAAAAACTTTCTTCTTGCGCTCCGGGCGGGTCAATCGATAGCCAAAAAAAGAATTTCCTCTTAGCAAGGACGCGACCCCTCTCTTACGGGGCCATATATCGACCCCATTTGTGCTTCAGATAACGATGCTGAGCCCTGTTTGTAACGCGCTGAACCGATCTCAACTGGACAAGCATTTGAGCGTTTTGCACTTGCCTTACTTGCAGCAATATCTCTGTGAAGAACGTTTTTCGCATGCAAGTATTCCAGCCCCCATGCCGCCTTAATGAGTGTTGTTACAGTAAAAATTTCACAAAGGTGAACGAGAAAGTTGAAACTCTTAGAGTCACCTGCAGACACATTTCGTTTTTCTTATCCATTGGCTGTTCTTGCTTTTGGAGATAGGAGTCGAGAGCACCACAATTTGCCTGTAGGAGTTCTTTTTCGAAGTTTTTGCATGAGAACAAATGGACAAATGTTTTGATTTGAGGAGCGGTTTAGCGGAAAGGTGTTGTTTTTCTTGCTGCAAACGTTAAGGCATGTAAGGGGGTGGGTTTCATGCGGCGCCACCCTTCTTTCACCAGTTTGCACGCTTCAAGAAGTGGTGAAGAGCGGGATGGCGCCGCGCCAAACCCAGCACCTGACACGCCAGCGCCTGCAGAACAACATCAGTCTAATGAGTGGACACATGCAAGTTACCTCTAGCACATCCAGACAGCCGATTCTGGACTTCTAGGAAGAAATCACAATAGCAAGTTATGGGAGGCGGGGTCCAAATGGGAGGTTGTGGGTTTAAGGAAAGAGCATAAAGAATAGTCTCCGCCGTTGATGGACTCCTTTTGTGGATTGCTCTGGACTCGGGAGTTTACCTCTGACCGTGGCATGGTAACCGTGCCACTTGCCGCTACACCAACTCCACCTAAAGCAGCTATTGGAGGCCTACTAGATAGAGAAGAACCGTCCTTATGCCCTGAATACGGCACTTCGTTTTTGGCGAGTGGATAGTCGCAAAGCATTCCTGATTCGGTAAGCTCACGAGAATGTTTTAAGTGCCATTCAAAAGAACAAACTCTGAGAGACAAAGTTCTGTGTGATGATAACAATCAGTGGTTTATGACAGTTGACTAGGGCTTCTCGAGTTTTCCTTTTTGAGCGAGTCTGCACCCTCCCTATTGCTTTGTGACCCTGAAGACGTACAGTGGCCTGATTCTTATTCGAAATACCTACTTTAGTTGGACAATCGTTCGGTTTCATTTGGCATGTTTCCACTTTGAATTGGGAGTGGCGTAAGGCGGAATGATAAACTCACGAGTTCCATAATCACCATGAGAGGTTCCTGACCGGCAGCAACTCCATAGAATTTAACAACGTTTGGATGATCAAAGTGTCTCATTAGGCGCGCCTCATGCATAATTTCTTTGATTTGTTCTTTTCGTGAGAACTTCCAATTTAGCCTGATGTGTCGAATATTTGACATTGATTACTATTGGCTTCTCTCTCGATTTCCTCCAAATTTGGAGGCACAACGGCGTTCTTTCAAGGCACGTCCAGCGCTCGCACAAATGTGAAGACGCTCTACCTGGACGAGGTACTCTGGTCCACAAGCAGAGAAGACGTCTCACTTTCGTGGCTCAAATGCGCAATAAGGTCGCTAAGCGCTCATGACGAATTTAGTGCTCCGCCCACCGCCTAAGGCCACACCTATCCTTCCTTTTTTTGAGATTCCTTCCTGGAGCGGTTGTTCCGACATTAGCTCCTTCTACTCCGAATAGTGAGAGGGTCGATAAGGGGACGAGTGTTTACCGTAATGCTGCCAACAGGTGAAAACTCACTCGTCACTCCCTCGTCATCCCACGCTCGTACCAGTTTGGTTTAAAGGCAGTTGGCACGATAAATCCCCAAAAAATGAGTAGGGTCAATACGCCTGGCAGGATGGAATTCCGCGACCCTAAGCAGGCGCTGCGTAACGCCTTTTCCAGGGAAGGTACCCTTATAAGGGCCCTATCAAACTACAACATACCGACCCTGAACGCTCACCACGCCAGCCCGCCCACAAATGGACGAGCGTACCTGATGCTCGTATTGTCTTTAAAGACACATGGTACGCTCAAAACACATTGAGGGTGTATGAGACTATCAGCCCCCAGCTGTCGATGTGTCGTGGTCCCCCCGCCCAAAACTGCACGGGGTCAGAGTACGGGACCGTGGGAAAGTCGTAATTCCTTGCTACACCGCCCGTTTCGCAAACTCACGTTTTTACTAACACCGGCGGTCGCGTGCAGCTCTCTTGGCTTTTTGCCAAGTCCTGTAATTGCGCTTTGGAATACAAGTACAACGCAATTTCTTTATGCGGATAACATTTAGGTGCTGCAAAATAAGAACCGAAGATGATGACGAGGGCTAGAACTCAAGAGCAACTGTGCTGCTTCTGCAATATCCCTCAGAGGCCGCGCATTCCCACAGAACATGACAATAAAAACGGCCTAAGCGTCCCACTCGTTAGTTTGAAGTATTTTCTACAAGGGGGGGGGGCAAAAAAAGTCACTTTCCTCCCTTGACTTTCGACGCGTTATAAGTTACACTTCACTGGGTTCCGACCGGACTTTTTTTCTACCATATTAAAGAGCATATTAAATACTATCATGGTACTCCGCCACAGCCTTCTGGAGGAGCGCCGTCGAGAGATTCTGCCACGCAACCATGGTTCGGTACCTGGCTTTAGCGAGATAGTTGATTTCTCGGCTACTGTAGACCACCTTGTTGAGCTCCGCCCGAACCCGGTAATTGAGTGGCTTAGGCCAGGGGACGTACTTAAATATTCCATCTTCTTCAGGTACTCAACGCCCTTCCATTCCAAGTAGGCGAGAGTTTTTCCAACGCCCTTCGATTCCATGTGGTGGCACCCAATGCTGTAGCAGTACAAAGTTTCCAAGAAGGTACGGGCGACGACATGTGAGGAGGATATTCTTCACGAGTTGCTCGATGTAACCGCCAGCGCTCACCTTCAGTCCGGGGTCCACGAAGAAAATATTGGTCTTTCCATTCCGGTCCATACCATCAACCCGCGCCTTGGCGACTGCGGTGAAGATGATGTCCTAGACCGTAGCGACGTTGTCGGAGCTGCTCGATGTTGGAGGTCTTCCAGATCGAGAGTACTGTCTCAGGTAGCTATCCATGGGTGACTCCATACTAGAAGTTTCGCAGCTGTTTGGAGGTGACATGAATTCCAAAGGTCTTCTCCAGTCAGGCTGCGACTGGAGATGACTTCATATTTTGGTGTACATGAAGGTGATGGGCGAGAGCCAGCTCCTGCTTATCGAGGAACATCTTGGGTATCTTCCGCCCTGGTACTCGTATCCACGTCCTCTGTCTGGGCTGCGAAAATTTCGAATGTGACTTAGTC